TACGATAGTCTGGGTCTGGCCATAATCTTCAAAGTGTGAACAAAATAAAGAAGAAATTCCTGTCTTATGCGTTAGTTAAAAACTGATGGTTACAAATAGTTTTCTCTATTTACAGTTCTTTCGACATCCAAATGTGTTGCCAACTTTGAAATGCTTATGTAAAATATTTAAAAAAGTTAAATAAATTATTAAAAAATATAAATCAATCCAAATAAGATTTTAACAATATGCTAGGAGTAAAAAGTCCAAGCCGAACCGAACAGCTTTGCGATATCCCATTACTATCTATCTATCTATATACATATATGTATATGTACATATATATATGACTGTAGCTTCAGAAGAACGTGGAGAACTTGCGCTTGTTGGGCGTCTTGCTGATGTTGGGGGGGCTCTGGCTGATCCCGTTGCAGTGCTTGGCGACCAGCACGGGCACGGGTACGGGCACGGGCACCGGTACGGGCATGGGCATGGGCATGTGTACGGGCACCGAAGCGTATGCCGCCGGCTCTGTCCCGTGGCTTAGGATGGTGTGCTGCAGCTGCTGTTGTTGTTGCAGTTGTTGTTCTTGTGGCTGCTGGGCGTAGTAGGCGGCCGTGGCCGTGGCCGTTGCCGTTGCCGTGACAACTGCACTGCTGGCTGTTGAGGCGGGTGGCATTACGACGACGGGCACAACCACGGGTTATACGGAGATCTCATAGTTCATATCGTAGATGCTGGCACGGTCCGGTGTGCCAGTGGCGTTCGATGCAGCCGCGGCAGCTGCGGCCGCCGCATTGCGTCCCACAGCAGCTGCAGCGGCGGCTGCGGCCGCATTCTGCTGCGCCAGGCTCGCCGGCATGCCGCTGGGCAGTCCGCCGTTGTTGCGCGCAATCGTAGCGGCCGCCGCCGCCTGCTGCTGCTCGAGCGTCTGCATCTCCATCGAGTCGGTCATCTCCAGGGCGCGCACGAAACTCATCGGCCTCGTTGGCGTCTGCTTGCGCTTGATCTGAGGCGATGGCTGGGGCTGCAGCGCCCCGGCCGCGCTGCTCACGTTGACGCCGGCCAGCGGGTTGGGCGGAAAGACTGCCACGCCGCCACGCAACTGGGGCTGATAGCCGCCGGACACGGGGCCGGCATTGCTGGTTGGCATGTTGGCGATGCTGCCGCTGCTGCCAGACTGGGCCCCCGCTCCGGCGCCACCGCCGCCGCCGCCGCCGTAGCGCAGAATGTACGTTTGTGCAGCGGACGTCTGGGGCAAGGTTGTGGGGCTCGTTGGATTGGAGCGATGATATGAGGCAGCAGCCGCTGCTGCCGCGTTCGCCAAGGCTGCCTGCTGCTGCTGTTGTTGTTGCTGCTGTTGCTGCTGCTGCTGGCTGGCATAGTCCTGCAGGCGCGAGTGGGTCATGATGAGCGGATGAGCGCCACCGCCGGCCGTTATGTACTGCGCATGCTGCATCATGCCGCCCGTATTGCTGCTGCTTGGCAGTGTGCCCGCACTGCTGCCAATGTTGACGCTGGTCGGTCCGCCGCCACCGCCGCCGCCCCCGAAGCCAGGGGAGGTGTCCTTCCACATGTAGACGCCGCGCTGCGGACTGCCGGCCAGCTCGCGTATGTTGTCCACCGTGTTGTTGGAGCGCGCATAGGAGAGCTCCGCGCCAGCGCCCTGCCTCACCAGCTCGCCCTCAGACAGGAAGCGGCGCTGCGGACTGCCGCCGTAGGCAGCCTGCGCCAGCGACTGCTGCTGCTGCAGCACTAGAGACGGAAGAGGATTAGCCACAGATTGATGGTTGTTGCATCGAATGGGAGAGCACTCACCTTGTTGCTGCTGCTGTTGCTGATGCTGCAGCATGACGCGCTGCTGTTGCAGCAGCAGCTGCTGCTGGTGCTGAATCGTCGGCGCCTGCGGATGCTGCGGCGGTAGCCCGCTGGTGTACTCATAGTAGGCAGCTGCCGCTGCGGCCGCCTGCTGTTGTTGCTGCTGCTGCTGCTGCTGCTGCTGCTGTTGCTGGGCCGCCTGCGCGTTCAGCCCGATGAAGTCGGGGCGTCGAGGCTGCGTGGGTGTGCCCGGGTTGGATCTGCGAAGGAGGACCAGTCGAGAGAGCGTGTGAGAGACAGAGAGAATGCTGACATGCATGCTTAGCCAGTTAGAGAGCGAGTTATGTTAACGGATAACACTGTGGCTGCGAACGCTAACAGCGCGCCATGTTAATGTTAGAACTTGACAGCAGATTAACAGAATGTGTGTTTCTTTCTGTGTGAGAGTAGTCATGAGTTGTGATTGAGGGTATATGTGTGTGTGGGTGTGTTGGCGCTGTGGTTAGGCTACGAACGGGGACCACAACATCGTTAGGGTAATCAAACATTGATCAAACATTGGTTAGTGACGAGTTACACCAGATGTTGCAGAGAGCGCGACCGAGCACAAGAGATGGTTAGACTGAAGTGGCCGTTGTGGGGCCACGAACAGAGAGGCCCATCGATAGACGGCCATCGGTTATCGATTATCGGTTAACGGTTATCGGTATTATGCAAAGATCAGTTTAGAAATGAAACCTTTCGTATTTATTAAGTACAATTCGACACCATTCTGCCCCACTGCATTTCATGTGAATATACATACATATATACATACATGTATGACATATACATATATGTATATATATGGGTATGTGTGTGTTATTTCAGTTAGCCAGCTGAGACTGAGTGTGTGCGCTTGTGTGTGGGTGACCACCGATTATTTTTGGTTGGGAGAGTTGCAATTGAGGCTCACGGGTCGCACATCATAACGTTGAGCAACAGCTAGAGAGATTGAGGCAGCTAGGGCCAGTGGTTGCGGGCGATGCGCTGCACGACGTCGATAACGGTGCGCGGCACGTCGGCGCGCACCAGCTTGATCAGCAAATGGAGCACGTTGACGACACAGTAGAGGATGCTGCAGCCAAGTATGATTGGGGCCAGAAGCAATTTGGTCTGCATTGAGTAGCGTGTGGTGTCCTCGAAGTCGAAAAACTCCCAGAGATTCGCCTGACCAAGGAAATGATTGCGCAGCTTCACCACCTGCCCCTTCAGCCAGGTGAAGTACCAGCACAGGAAGAACAACAGATTCGACGTCAGATAGCCCAGCAGGAAGCCAGCCAGCGTAATGTAGTCCATCTTGGAGTCGTTGGCCACAGCCGAGCTGAAACCGCCGCCCGCCCGCAGCTGCCCGTAGCGAAATCCGCTCAACTTCGGCGAGCGACCGTATGGCCTCGTCGGGTATACGGCCGGTTCCCTCGGACCCGGATCAGTGTTGGGCTCCACTTGGATGTTGCTTTTCCTCTCCAAGTTGCTGATGTAGGAGTGGCCCGACAGCCTGTTGTTGTAGCTCCTGCTCAGGTAGCTGTTCTTGTTGGCGGCTGTGTTGCTGTTATTGTTGTTGTTAATGATGTTGACGTTGCTGTTGCTTTTGTTGATGTTGGTGTTGCTGTTGTTCAAGTTGTTGATGTTGTTGACGTTGTTGTTGAGGCTGTATTCGTCACTTGCCGCCTGCTTGCCATACTTGGCCAACACCTTCTGGAACCGCTCGGCGGTGCTGCTGCTGGGGCTGTTGCAGTTGTTCTTGATATTGCTGTTGCTCATGTTGTTGCTGATGTTCTTGTTGATGTTGTTGTTGATGTGGTTGTGGTTGTGGTTGTTGATGTTGTTGTTTTTGTTGTTGTTATTATTGTTGTTTTTGTTGCTGGCACTTTGAATGGCGCTGCTGTTGCTATAGTTGCAGTTGTAGCCATTGCTATAGGCATCCTCGCCGCCGGCCCGGTGATTGCCACTGTCGTTGTCAGCCGACCGCGCCGCAGCCGCCCGGGGGCTGCTCGGCTCGACGCCAGCAGCAGAGAGCTCGCTCTGGCAGCTGCGCTGCCTGTGGAGGCGGCTGGACGTTGGCAGCTGCGTCGTTTTGTAGGAACGATAGGACGAGGAATCTCGGCGCTCCTCTGGCGTTGGGAAGCGCCCATCGCCAGCATCGCCGTCCAGGCCGCCAGGCGACTTCTGCAGCGAGCGCGGATTCGTCACGAACTTCATCCCATTGAACTGAAACTGGCGGCGGTTGCGCAGCTGCGGCGGCGTCGCGGCTGTGAGTGGCAGTGTCTTGTCCAACAGACCCAGCGACCTGATGCGGTTCGAGTTCTGCTGTGGCTGCTGTTTGTTCCTATTCATAATGCTTGTTGCCCTTTTTAGAATTATTATTAAAACCGATTGCACCGCAATTTGGCGAAATTCAACTTGTTTGCCGAAAAATAAAATTAAAAATTTTTAATAGGGATACAACAAAACAAGGGTACGAGAATTTGTTTGCTTGGCTCTATTTTTCGAGACTAGCCTGACAGATTTTGCGAGCTGACATTCGTGTCTGTGTGTCTTATTTGTATGAATGAATTGTTATTATAGTACCCAGAGCCAGACTGTGACTGTGACTGTGACTGTGACTGTGACTGTGACTGTAACTGTGACTGTAACTGCGACAGAGAATGGGCAAAGCCTGCTGAGTGCGTGCCTTTGATTGGTTTGATTCGAATGAGGTGAGTCTCGGCAAATAACGAAACAAGATACGAACTATCTTCGGACCGCCGAAGCTCTGAAATACCCTTGCAGGCATACAACACTCCACCGAGATCACAGTGGCCGGATGTCTGTCTGTTATCGTTATCCAATGGAGCTAACTAACAGAGGGCTGAAGAGGTTTCTTCACCAAGTGCGGACAGCAATATGAATCCCTTCTTATGAATGTGTTAGACCTATATAGTGTGAAAGTCTTTCTTAGTGTAATTTCTTCCTTCCTGCTTTCATATAGTTTATACGACGTAAGCGACTATAGACCCAGACAGACATACAAGATTACTAATTAAAGAACGCAAATCAATAGACATACAAGTCTATATAGAGGGACTCCACTTGGTGGCATGCATGGCACCCACTGCAAGGGTATATCGTTGGAGAAAAAGAAAAAGACAGTGAAACGGCACCAAAATCAAGAATTCACTCACCTTCAATCAAATGAAAGCTAAGGTAGTAGTAGTACATTGAGTGGGTGCGCTTGGTGTTGACGCTAGTTGTTGTGGTACATTTTCTAGGAAAGTGTCAGAGTGTAATTGTTTCGTGTGCGTGTGTATGTGTGTGTAGGAGTGTAGGTGTGTGGACGGAAACGTTAAGAAGACAACTGTCGCCTGCTGTGTGCCGTCGCCTGACGTCTATCCATATATGTATAAGTACGTAGACAGTTATGTAGGAAACGTTTGGACACAAAAGAACTTGACTGGGAAGCTGTTTCTGGTATTTGCTTGGTTCAGGATATGGCTCGGGCTCGGGCTCAATTCTGCAGTGCGCCTCTTTCTGCTTGACACAGTGTAGTCTGCATTGTATTAAACACTCTACTAAACGTAGGATCTTATGGATCTACATCCATATACATATATATACATAGATATATAATTAATCGTAATCGTAATCGTAATCGTAATTTTAATCTGATATCGTCTCACTTTTCACATTAATTCTAGTTTTCTTTTTATTGGTTTTTTTCTGTTTTTTGGTTTTCTGTGTTTTTTTGTATCTTTGTTTTTTTTTTTGTTTTTGGTAAGCTAAGCCTAGGAATTAGTACTGTTCTCAGAATTTGAGTATTGACTACATCGAGAAAAATAAAATAAACAAAGAAAACGGAAAAAAAGAAAAGTTTTAAAATAATTAGTCGAAAAGTGTGTAAATCAAATCATGGGGAAAAGCTTTGTGCTAAATATATACACGATATGCTGATGAGATATAGGGAAAACAGAGCGCGAAGGACGAAGCCAAATAGAGGGAGAGATGAGTACGACTAAAGCGTGTGAGTGGTGCCACAATATAGACGGAGATGGATGGATAGATACAGAGAAAAACAGAGAGAGAGAGAGAGAGAGAGAGAGAGCGAGCGAGACAAATAGATAGGTACATGGATACAAAGAGGATAGCTGACACAGCCGGAGTGCATTGACCTTTGAAGCCAACTCGCTCGCTGTCGTGCGCAATGAGTACAGAGTGTACAGTGAGCACTGCGATTATGATACAGGCCTAGCTTCAGGTGCTCTTCAAGCGAACTCACAACAGCAGCCATTACAATGCCAACGGTATACAACTGAGGATCGCATCTCCTAGCGCGATTATCTTAGGACTCCCGCACACACACACACGCGTGCGCAATCCGTGTATGTGTGTGTGTGGGGGTGTGTGGGTGTGTGTGTGTGCAGTTCTTCTTAAGCGAGCTGATCATGGCAATAACAGTTACGGCAGCAACAGCATATTGAAGCACAACTTCACAATCAATCAATGCGATAAGCAGCTCAACACATGAACAATTCGATATATATATATACATATATATATATATACATATAAATTATCATATATACACATGTATATGTATGGCTAGCTGGAGAATCGGTTTGTGGCGGCTGCGCCACCGCTGCCGCCGCTGATGGGTCGACTCGGACACCCGGACTCACCTTCTCACTGGACTGGCGCTGACGAGTGGGGTGGCCACGCCCAGTGGCTTAATTCGTTGTTGCATGGTAGGCGTGGCCGTGGTGGTGCCACCGCGCTGGCTTTGTGCTACTGATATGCCCTGCTGCCCGTTGACGACGTAGCCACCGCCCGGCTGGTCCGGCGACAGTGGATCGCTCGTGTAGCCGCGCTGCGGATCCAGGCCCCTAAAAGCAATCGTGGACAGACGTGAGAGCAAGCGCTGGACACATACTTGAATGTCTACTCACCTGGTGCGCGCGTGCGGACTGTGCCGTGGGTGGTACATGCGCAAGTGCCGCGGCGAGTCGCCACCGCCACCGGACTGCGCCGAGGTGGCCGCACCACCCGCGCCGCTGGCAATGTTGCCGTTGTTCATGCTGCTCATGTTGATGCCAGGCGCCGTGTCGCTCACCTGTGGCAGGTAGAAGTTGGTCGAGTTGTGGCGCTGCAGCGGCGGCGTCGGCTCGCAGTCTTGGCTCTGTGAGGCGGGCGGCGGCTCCAGGTCCGTGTCGGAGCACTCGCGTCCCGGCGACAGCTGCGAAAAGGGTAGAGCGCACACAGATTGCTTAGACAGGTTAGTAAACAGCCCACGCCACCTGCTCAACACAGATAACCTTAGGCCTACGTAAAAAAGAATAAGTTGTTGCGATTGATCGATCGATTTGTACTTGAAACCAAATGAAAACGAAACTTGTGTGTGGTTTGTGTGGGGTGGACAAATGAATCGATTGCCAAATGCCAAATGCCAAATGCCAAATGCCAATCGCCAATTGTCGATTGTCGATTGTCTTGGCCCGAAGCGAATGCGATGCTAACAGAGATGGGCCCCTGCACGGATGTGACGCACAGTGTGTATGATGCCCGTATCCACGTCGAGATACAGCGACTGCAATCTTTTTACAGGGTATTTTCAATGTTGTCGTTTTGAGTTATGCAAGGCGTGATGTGGGGGGTATGTGGGCTACATATGATGTGAACTGCGCGAGGGAGTCGATAGGTCAAAGCTACGGAATTCAGCGGATTTGCTGGGCATTCGGATCCGAGAGAGTGGAGAGGGAAATAAAGAGAGCAAGAGAGTGAAAAACGGAACAAAATATGTTATCGAGTTTAAAAGATAGTAGATAGCTGTATATATTGAAAGATATTTAAAATTGAGAAAATTGGGAAAGTGATTTCAAATTTCGAAGATCTCAATTCAATTCTATTATAGTCAATCTTCAGTGAGGAGAAGCAACAGAAGAAATCATGTGACGAATTTCAAGTCAATCAATCAATATGAAGTAAATAAATTAATTAATTAAATAATTGAATTACAAACATATATATATATATTTTATTTGATTCGTTTCTTTTTATTATTTTTCGATTTTACCTTTTTCGGTGCTTGCAGAAAGTGTAGAGTTTTTGTTGTTTGTTTTCTTGTTTTTCTTTTTGTTGTTTGACCAATCTTGAGTTAAGATACATTTTCTAGACTAAATTGGAAAATAGTTGCACAACAATCTGCGAGCGAATTTACAGCACAAATGCAGCCAAACTAATGCGGAGAACAGAGCAGTAACGTTTGCAAAAGCTTTCAAATTCAAATTAGGTAAACAGCGAACTAAACCAAAGTACTTGAAACCACATGCAGCAAATCAAAATGAAACACAGTCTAAAAGGATGAGCAAACTAATCGAAGCCTTTAAGTTAACCAAACTGAACGGAAATGAAAATTCAGCAAATTAATTAATGTTCGGCTACAGCACCGAGGCTCTAAATACGTTCCCGGAACAGCAACAATACAGGAGTAGTTTACATTGAGAGGCCACATAAATCAGCAAATAATACTCTACTTTCCACTCAACAATGAGTATATTCGATTGGTGCGATGTTGCTCTCTATCCCTACCTATAGTTTGCCAATGTGTTCACGAACACCAGACGGAAGAGTCTATGAAATAAAGCCCATGTAAATCAGCGAGTATTACTTCTCTGCTTTCTATTTAAAAACGAGTATATCTATCGGCCTAGGGTAGGGTTTCTCTAGCTCATTTGTCTGTCGTTCCCTCACCTAGTATGGACTCTTCAAATACCTAGCCTATATGTTGAGCCGAGCATATTAGTTAGCTTACTCCTTGTCTATTGTCTCCCAATCTCTTTCATTTTTTGGTAGAATCTTCAAATATATCAACGAAATACAGGAAATAATACCCTAGTCGCATGCTAAAACGAGTGTACTGGCTTATATGCGGCATGTCCTGTAATGCTTTCATGTCGTGTCTTTACACTATTCGCATATAAATATAAATGTGCCCTTAGGGCTCTACATTAAATTCTTTACTCTCGAAATTCAGATTCTACTCAAAATCTATTTGAATTTTAAGTTTGAAAGTTTTAAGCCTATAATAAACGCTGTTCGCATATTCGCTTATTCAACTCCCCAGAGTTGTAGACTTATTCTCTCCATGTGTCATCGAATATGGTTTTATCGAATATGTTATCGACTTATGCTTTTTTGTTGGCAGACATGTAAACGCTTTAGCTTTACTAAGTCACTTTGGGAACATTTTTTCGTATTTTATGGCAAATCCTTTATAAATCTACGCAAGTGCAGCAAGAAAATAAACCAAGCTTAAGCAAAGACAGCAGTGAGATAGAGGGAGAGAGTGGGAGAGAGAGAGAGAATGCATAAAGATTGTGTGGACAATATAACGAAAAGTGTTAAGGATTTTTGCAGTTTATTCATCTGTGATAGATTCTGTGCGTGTGTGTGGGCGTGTGTGTGGGCGTGTGCGTGTTAGCAGTGGTGTACTGTACCAAAAAGCGGCAACTACGCTACAGACGTGTCTAGCAGGCGCGGACAGAGCCCGGGCCAGGCAGGGCACGGCAAAAGGAAGCATCAAATGCATAACTAAAACTTCAGAGGCAGCAACGGCCGTTCTTGGAGCAAGTTTATTGTTTTTAATCTAAAGGCCAATCGATAATTACGGGTCGACGGGCGAACAAACTGTGCATTAGCTATACATATATGTATATGTACGATATATATAGAGATATATGTAGGCATATGTATGTGTACGTTGTCATATGAAGAGCCAAGGGCGAGAGTTACGTATGCATTAGATGTGGGACGTGAGGACGTGATCAACTTATAAATACGATAAAGCGCGGATGGAAATGAAGCAGAGGCGATTGCCAGCCAACGATTGCAATGCGCAGGTTAAGCCGAAATCAAAGGGCGAAGAAGCGTTAGTTAGCAGTCGGGAAATGTTAGGTACAAGCCAAGTAACTCTCACTAAACTAAAGCGTATTAAACCCAATCGAACTCAACCAAACAGTTAAAACAGATTAAATGAAACAGATAGGTGAAGTCCGACAGCGAGAGGCGACAGCAGCTGGGCCGCCGGCCAAAAGCCGACAGACAGAGATATGTACACAAACAAAGATACAGATACTGGTACAGGGTAGTATAGTAGATACATGATTATAGGTTGTTTATAGAGGGAGAGAGAATTATAATCGTTTTGCATAGCAATTACTGCAATGTTTCGTTTCGGTTTGCAAAATGTTACCCACCTTACTATAAAGCGTTGTGCTGCCCGACCGTTGATTA